TTGTTTGGGTTGGTTTCTTTCAGGCCACACACACACACACACACACACACACACACACACACACAAGACTGTACCGAGAGTCAGGCCTTGTTTCAGCAAATGCTTTTGAATGCTGGCGACGTGCCCGCCGCCTTTTTCCGGCATTGATGGCTCCATTGTGCCAACATGAAGCGGCAAAGTGCGAAGGACGGAAGGGAAGGAAGGTGGGTGGCTGACCTCTTGTGGAGAACGCAGCGGGATGAGAAAATGAGGAGAGGAGAAAAGGAGCATGCGACGCGGCGTGCGTTGGTGCGCTTGTGTGGGCTTGCGCTTGCAGCCGCCTGCCAGTGGTGCTTGTGGGAGGAAAGTGCGCCCCTTCTTGCGGACAGCCACACCTTTGCGTGTTTTCTGGTGTCCCACTTCCTTGCTTGCAAGCAGCAAGCAAAAAAAGGAAGGAAAAACAAACAAAGCCGGCCAACGTCAACTTTTCCTTTGACTGCGAACGTGAGCAATCACAATCATTCAAAGCCAATTTTGCCTTTAATGATTCGGTGCACATTTATCATTAGCCCATCAACCCAAACAAACAAACAAACAGAACAGCAAGCAAGCAAGCAACGTTGTTTGTGTGTGACTCAGCCGCTTCCTATCTCTGCTGCTCTTGCTTGCTTGCTTGCTCGGTTGTCGTCGAAACCGCATTCTTCTGCGCCGCTCGCCCGCTTTGCTCTTTGACCTCGCTCGCCGCTGCTGCTGCTGAGACCACCACCACCCTTCTTTCTCCCCAGGCGACCCGCTCTTCCACACCGCCGCCATGTTCCGCTCATCGACGCATGACATCAACTGCGGCTTCTTCAACCAAGACGCCAGGTGCGTGTTTCCGTGTGTGTGTGTGTGTGTGTGTGTGTGTGTGTGTGTGTTTGTGTCTGTGTGGCACCAGCACCACCAGCACCAGCATCATGTCCACGTGTAATTGCTTGCACGCAGATGGTGTATGTTTTTTGGATCTCTCATTTGGGTCTCTGTTCGTGGTGTCACCCTCCTCACATGCCCGTGCTCCTTCTCCTCCTCCTTCTTGGCATCATGAACTAGTCGGTTGGCTGTCGGCACGATGGACGGGTACATGATCATGAAGATCTCTCCGGACATCAAGATGATCACGTCCTCGCACGAGGAGAGCACGAGCCTGATTCACCTGTACTACAACACGGGCCTGATTGCGCACGTTGGCGGAGGCTCTGAGGCCTTCTCGTCGCAACGGTGCATGAAGATCACAAACGTGCGGACGCGCAAGGAGATTATCCGCATGTCGTACAGCAAGAAGATCTTGGCCGTGCGCATCAATCGGCGGTTCCTCGTTCTCGCCTCGGACGAGAGCATCCGCATCTACGACATGGGCACCATGAAGCTCAAGCACACCATCTCATCTCCGCCCGCCAACCCAAATGGTTTGTGATGTGTGTGTGTGTGTGTGTCTGTGTCTGTGTGTGTGTGTGTGTGTGTTTTGTGTGTGTGTGTGTGTTTTGTGTGTGTGTGTGTGTGTGTGTGTGTTGATGTGTGTATGTGTGTGTGTGCGTGTGTATGTGTGTTGATGTGTTGGTTCGTTTGGTACTTTTTGCTCTCTCTCTTTCTTTGTGGCTGTTTCTCTTTCTTTGTGACTGTTTCACTTTCTTTGTGACTGCTCTCCCGCTTCCTGGTTGCTCTCCTTCCTTGCTGTCCTTTTCTGCGTTGTTATTGCGAACCTGCGCCGCTTACATTGCCACCCTGAACACGCGCATTTGCACGCATGCAATGCGTCATGTCCAACACCAGGTGTCCTTGCCTTGGCCACGTGTCACGTGCTCAAGGAAGAAGACAAGGGCTGCCGCCACCTTCTCTGCTACCCGAAATCCAATGAGAAGGGCGATCTTTTCGTCTACGACGTCGAGAACCAGGTAGGTGTGTGTGTGCGTGCGTGCATAGACGTGCGTGTGTGCATGTATATGTATGTGTGTATGTGTGTGTGTGTGTGTTCGAGTGTGTGCATGTATGTGTGTATGTGTGTGCGCGTAGAATTGTATTGTGTGCCACCGTACCATGTCCTCTTTGCTGCTGCGACTTTCCGCCTCCATGCACTTTCTCACCCTCCCTCACACCTTCCTTCCCTTTCTCGGTTCCGCAGCGTCTGCTGTACAATCTGGAGGCACACACGTCGCCCGTGGCGTGTGTCGCCTTCAACAACAGGGGATCCCTCCTCGCCACCGCCAGCGAGAAGGTGCACGCGTTTGTGATTGCCTGTTTTCTTTTTTGTTTTTTTTTGTTTTTCTGCGCGTCATGCCCACGCAAGCGCATGGTGCCAACGATGCCAATGGGGTGACCACGTGATGGAGTCAACTCATCCTTCAACACCAACAAACACGACCACCAACAGGGCACCAAGTTCCGTGTGTTTGCCACAGCAACACGTGCAAAGCTGTATGAGCTTCGTCGCGGCTACGCCACCCGCGCCCGCGTCCTCTCCATGAACTTTTGCGTAAGTCACCTGTGTGTGCATGTGTGTGTGTGTGTGTGTGTGTGTGTGTGTGTGTGTGTGTGCGGGCCGTTCTTCTGCCTGCCTGTGTGCGCGTGTGTGCGCACGGGTTTTGGCTGCTTTTCCGTATCTGCCACACGTTCACCAATCAAGTGCATTTCTCTACCCCCCCCCCCTCTCTCTGTCACGCCTCGCTACGCATCTTATGCAGCCGGAGTCCAAGTACCTGTGCGTGTCGAGCGAGAAGGCGACGGTGCACGTGTTCAAGACGGACCACCACGACCAAGAGGCGGTCGCCCCACCCGAAGCGCCCGAGGAGAGCGACTCGTGGTCCTCCTACTTCACATCGGGCCTGTCCTCCGCCGTGTCCTACTTTGCCCCGAGTCTGCCCGAGATGTGGACGGAGGAGCGAAGCTTTGCCATGGCCACGCTCGACGAAGCGTGCGAGAACACTAGCGCCCTCGTGTACGAAGACAGGCGCCTCGTCCTCATCGTCTTCACCTCAACAGGCGACCTCTGTGCGTTTGTTTATGCTTGCATGCGTGCGCTTGTGTTTGTTTGTGTGTGTGTGTGTGTGTGTGTGTGTGTGTGTGTGTGTGTGTGTGTGTGTGTGCGTGTGTGTGTGTGTGCGTGCTTGCGTGTTGTGCGCTTGTGTGGTTTCGCATGTGTGCGTGTGTGTGTGTGCGTGTCTGTCTGTGTGTGTGTGCTTGCATGTTGTGCGCATGTGTCTGTGCATGCGTGTGCTCGTGTGCTGTCCCCTTCACATGCATTTTTCTGTCACGTCTCACACACCCCATCCCGCGTACGCACCCCACCCACCACTACACCGACACCCTCCACCCTCCCCTCCCTTCTCCTCCCACAGACAAGTTCTGGGTACACGAGGACGGCACTGTGACGCCGAAGCAGCGCGTGTCTGTGCTGAGCATCGAGCGGGAGTACGCGCAGGGGGTGCACACCGCGTCCACGTCCCAGGACGGCGAGGAAAGCGATGACATGGCGCACGCAACAGCAGGCATGCGGCAGCTGCTGGCAGGGGAGGGCGACGAAGAGTCGGCACCGCCACCGCAGCACCAGCAGCAGCACCAGCAGCAGGCGCGTGGCGATGAGGCGCAGGCGAGCGCACGCAAGGAGCTGGCCAGTGATGAACAGGACCACCAGTGATGGATGGATGGACGGGTGGATATGGGTCAGCCACCGTGCGAGTGGAATGCGCTGCGCCCCACCTTTGCGTGCGCGTGCCGAAACATGTCTTTCTCTCCCTCTTTTCTGTTTGTGCGTATTTCCTTGTTTGTGTGCATTTCCTTGCCTGCCTACTGTCGTTGGACTGCCTCTTTGTGTGTGTGTGTGTGTGTGTGTGTGTGTGTGTGTGTGTGTGTGTGTGTGTGTGTGTGTGTGTGTGTGTGTGTGTGTGTGTGTGTTGCGTCTGCTTGGTGCTGGTCTTACACGCTGCTCTGGATCGATGTTATGTGCCCAATACGTGCGTGCATGTGTTCGCTTGAGCGGGTTTGCTTGAGTGGTTTTACTGCTGTAAATTGAACGCAAAAACATCCAAGAAAGAAAGGAGGAATGACGGGTGGGTAGGCACGAGACTTGATACGAGAAGACAGACATGCACGAAAACAGCTTGTCTGGCGTGGATTGTTGGGAGGAGGGATGTGAAGAGGGAGGGAAAGGGTGAATGCATGAACACACATGAACATGCACTGCACAATGTGCACTGCGGAACGTGAACATACGTGCGCACACGCGGGTGTCTTGCTGAGGTGGCGGTTATGCCACAGACTGCAGGATGAGGGTGCACAGGTCCTCGTTCTCGCTGCGCACAGCCAACTCCATGGACACCCCTTGGTCAAAGGCAAGCTTGGCCACAGCCAGCACGGGGATGTTGCCCACAAACACACCCTACAAGGTCGAGTGTCGAGGGGCAGACGGGGAGTGGAAGTAGCAGCAATGCAGGAGGTGAGCTCCAGGTCAAGAGAAGAGGTGGGACGAGGAGGTGGTGGCGGAGGAGGCTGACAGTCCAGACACAGGGCAAACAACAAACCAACAAACCAACAAACCAACACACACACACACACGCACACACACACAGGCATGCACAGGCACACACACACACACACACACACACACACACACACACACACACACACACACACACACACAGGCACAGACACAGGCACAGACACACACACAGACACACACGAAAGCGCACCGAGAGAAAGAGGGTGTGGCGGGTCGCGTCCTCGGGCACGACGTTAGACTTCTCACACGTGGCCATGCCGAGGAAGGACGGGATGTTGCGCGCGGCGTCCTGCAGCGACTTGATCGCCTCCAGGTTGAACGTGTCGGCCTCCTCAGCCACGCCCTGATGCACACGCAGCAGCCGTGCAGGGTAAGGTCGATGGATTAAGGAAGGAGTGGTGGTGGAGGCGGCGGTGGGGGGTGGGGGATTGGAGACATTGCGATGCGCTATGTTTGAGGAGCAGAGGCAAGGAAACACAGGGCAACCAGGCGAAGAGAAAGAGAACGAGGACGCGCAATGTGCTGGCGATGGTTTGTGCTGTTGCAATGCAAAACACCGCAGCAACGCACAGCCCGAATGGCAGCGGAGACGCACCTGCATGGCAGACCAGGCGGAGGAGAAGTTGGGCTTGGAGACGGCCTGCATAAAGTCGGCAAACTCAAGATCAACGTCCTCCAGCTGCAGCGTGGTCGAGGGAGCAGGACAAGGCGTGGTGGTGGCGAGAGTCAGAAATGGCGTAACGTGTGCAAGAACAAGAACAAGAACAAGAACAAGAACAAGAACAAGAACAACAACAACAACAACAACAACAACAACAACCATCCCTCTACCCCAACTCCACCACCACAACGACTCACCGCGTATGTGTCCTCGTAGCTGTCCTCGGCAACCTCCTGCGTGTCCGGATCAACGTCACGCACCAAAAAGTCCAGGCGCGTTTCAAACGTTTGCGCTCCTATTTCACAGCAGTTGTACCAAAACGGCCGTCAGAACGGCCCCAAGACGCGCAATAAAGGCAGCAGCAACAATTCCCAAATGTCACACACAGCACCCACACACGTACACAGCACCTGCAGACCCACATGAAACCACAGCACCCCACAACCCACCCCAAGCGCAAACACACACGCACGAACGCACACACGCACGCACGCACGCACGCACGCGAAAACGCACGCACGCGAAAACGCACCGACAGTTGGGTCCGAGGGGAAGGCGACAAAGGAGCTAACGGTCTGGTCGTACTCGATCTTGGGCGCCGGGATCATGATGACGTCATCGGCATCAATCTCCTGCTCGCCGCCCTCCATCACCACCTGCGCATTCTCAAGAATCTGGTCGTTGAGCGTGTTGGTCACGCTGTACTCAAACACAATGTGCTCGGCAAACGCGTGCTTGGTGCACTTCACCACGTACTCCGTCTCAGACTCCGTCAGCATCACTGCGACGGTGGGAAGGTGAAGCCATGGCGTGAGTGAGTGAGTGAGTTGAGTGAGTGAGTTGAGTGAGTGAGTTGAGTGAGTGAGTTGAGTGAGTGAGTGAGTGAGTTGAGTGAGTGAGGTGAGTGTGTGTACGTGTGTGAAGGGCCCGACATTTGTGCACGATCACCGAGAACACGTATCACGTCTTCAAAAATTTAATGGCATTCTT